GGAAGGAAGGAAGGAAGGAAGGAAGGAAGGAAGGAAGGAAGGAAGGAAGGAAGGAAGGGAGACATTCCAGAAGGTCTTAAAGACCTGGCTATTCTCCCAGGCCTTGGGCTAGGGTGGATGAAGCCCTTGTGGGATGTGTTTTGTGCATTGTTGCTGGACTGCCGTGTTCATTTTTTGTTTATTTTTGTTCTTATTTTTCATGTTCTTCATTTATTTCGTTTCTGATTACTTGTACTGTATTTTATTGTTGTCACATTGTGAGCTGCCCAGAGTAATTTGGAGTTGGGTGGCACCTAAATTGAATAAATTCAAGGGAAAAATCAGCAAGCTGACTGAGGGAAAGCATGTTCAACTGAAATTAAATCCGTGTCGGTGCTCCTGTTCCTACTATCCCTTGTTTTTTGGTTTGCTTCCACCTACTTCTTGGCATGCTGCCCCTGGCATGCTACTCAAAAGCTGTGCAGCCCTCACTGGGGAATAAAATAGATTGTCCCCTCTTGACTTAGAGCTACTGTGAGTCAGGGTAGATCAGGATGTGGACACTGTTTTGATCTGAAATTAGGGCCAAAATGAGCAGGGTCAAAACTCAAAGCAATTGTAACATACCCCCAAAACTGAGAAAAATAATCTAGTAACAGAGGAAAAAAAGTACAACCCCTTCCTCTGTAGTATGAGTTCATTCCTCTGCTAAGAGCAACAGAGTGAGTAGTAATTAACTGTTTCAATCTTCTTCTTAATAGAGGAAATCCAGCCAGTTCAAAAGAGGGGAAGAATAAGACAGGATGGGTTTTTACTTTTCAGGCTGAGCATTTATAGGAAAGTAGAGTTCTCATAGTGCAGGGAACACCCATGACTATCTTCCTTCTGTGGGCTGGAGACATGATCCATGCCTGGAGATGGACCCAGAACAGGAGGATGTGGAAGAAAAGAAAGAAATATCCCTAAGACTTCATGGTTCCCGTGGACAAACGTTCTGGTTCATTAGGACAGAATCATTCTCTCTCTCTCTTATGAGTGTGCATGTGTGTTTACACATTTTTCTTCCTGTTTAAAACCAGTAGTCCCAACGGAGTTTGGGAAAGATGTTAATCAAATCCATGAATCAGTGCAGAGCCAGTTAAAAATAAAGCAGCCTTTTCACCTTCACCTCCAAATTAATCTGCCAGAGATGGAAAAAGGATCTTTACTAAAGATCAGGCTCCAGTCCTGGCTCTTAAAACAGGAGGCAGCTAAGTTAGGACTTCTCAGCTATGAGCTTCCTTAAAAAATGAACCAAGCCAAATGCCAAACCTCTTTCTGCAGCGGGGGAAAGAAAGCATAATGGGAGGAGGGGCATAGTTTGAAAGCATGATCTATTACTGGTTTACAAATGGTAGCTTTTTAACCAGGACTTGCCATTATCTCTGAACCCAGAATCCAGACTTATTTTGTCTGCTCAAAATCTGGATAGTGGCTCAAGAAATGGAATGCAGAGAATCTAGGAAATATCTGAACAAGGATTATGTTGCTCATCTGCTAAAACGATCCAAACATCACTAAAATCCTGGTTTAGCCTTCTAGATAAATGCCATTTGCACAGCAATCCACCTGAAGTGGAGGGAGAAACCCTGAGAAATGATCATTCCATGCTCCAAACTACTGATGTAACAGAGGCAGGTTCCAGACTCTATATCCTGTTGCCATGTAAAAGCCACAGATCTTGGAGAAAGATCTGGAAAGAGTTCTCTTTTCTTAAAAAAAATAGTGTAAATTGAACAAAATAGTTGTTTACTGTCAAGGTAAAGGTAACTTCTTGGTTCAGCAACATATGTAACTTTGTCAACCTAATGCTAGGGCACTTACCAAATATGAGATCCACATAGCCAGTTTCATTCCTTTGTCCTTTGTCAACTGGATAGCTTGGGAAGTCTGTCTGAAAGCAAGCTGAGAAACAGCAGCAACTAAGGATCTAATACTTCCAAAGGTGCTGGTAGAAGGTATCTTGTTTGAATCACATCCTCCTGGAGATTTGTAGGCTACAGGTGAGAAATGAGAAAAAAATGTGTAATTAATGAGCCAGGCCTGACTTCTCCTATAGATTAAAGAAGTTAGAATGATTCCACACATTCTATGACATCATAGCATCTCTGCCTATGAGCAGGCCTGGTGAGGGTTGATTGGGGACAAGCAGATATTTTGGCAGCTCAGTTAACATAAATTTAATTTCACCTCTTTAAAATTCAGTCTTCTTCCAAACAGCGTATTCAACATTTGGCTGTTGACTGTCAATGCCAATCCAGGTTTATGGCTACAGAACAATATCAGCCTTCTGCTTGTACAAAAAACAAAGCTCTACCCATAATTCTTTTACCTTGGCTTTTTAAAATGTGGTTGGTGCAAATGGTGTGAGTTTGTGTGTGGTGTGGAAAAGGAACAGTGGCTCAAGATCAGCAAGTTCTTTGACTACCTCAAAGGAATGGAGGCAGGAATGTCTCTAGCACCATCTTGTGGAAATAGGGGTTCTGGATCCTAAGAAACTGCATCCATATAACCTGAGTTTGTTGGCCAAACCCCAAAAAGCTTATAAGAGATCCTGACTGCCGCACTCAACTTCAGAAATTTGAAAATACCCAGCTTTAACTTCTAATAAACAAAATGAGCCTATGAAACTAACAAGATGAGCATCTCATAAAAGGAGGAGCTTTGACTGCCAAACAACATATGTTGCTTCTTTAAAACAACACAAAACAAAACAATACAACACAACACAAAACAGAACACCCTCTCTCTCTCTTTAATGGGATACAATATTTTGAATGGAACCAAAACAACCAAGGACAAATAATGACAGATTATCAGTTTAACTAGTGTCTCTTTCTAGTTCAGACTGCAGCAAAGATGCAATACTACCTAATTTACATTATATTTTTTAAATGGCCTATCTTGAAATGGTCTATCAGGACAGCAAATTGGGCAGATAACCTGTGCTGGTAAGCTCCTTAGAATTAGGTGATGGAGCAAACAACTTTGGGATATTTATGGAGGCTCACCTATGTTCAAGTGGAATCTTTAGAAACCAATAAGAATAACAGTGCCAATAAAGTTCCAATGATCTCAAGAGGCAAGCACTGGACTCCTGAAATGTCTTGTTGATCAGAAAACTAGGGTGCATATAATAATACAAAGAGCTGAAGTTCTTCAGCCCCAAGATCTGAGACTGTTTACCTACAGGTCAACCAGGCACAGTATTAACCTGAACTGGGCTCCATTTTCCAATCCACCACCTTCTCCAGCTTGCTGACTGCAGAAACTTTAGCCACCTGGTTCACTTGACTATCCTGTGCATTCTTTGTCTTGATCTTCACACTGTTCTTGGACTGATCATCATTTTCAGCAGCCAGTCCCAAGACTTTGTCCAAGATGTCCATGACAGAGCATACAGCACATCGAAGGTGGGCTAGAATGGTGTCCTTCAAATCAGAGGTAGCCTGAGGAGCAGGATAAGACAATGGAGAAAGATTTTTATGACCCATTTTAGGTTTTCAAGCAAGACAGTGAATCTATCTGGTAGAATCAGTAGAAAGGTGCGTAGTAAGGAGCTGTCCAGAACTTCAGTAGGCTTGGAGTACAGTCTTAATGGAGAATTCAGCAAGTAAACAGACACCAACATTTAAGTCATGAATGCATAACTTTTTGAGATGAGGCTTGTACTTAGAACATGGGGCCAGGATGAAATAAGTGCCACCAGGATACAATCCTGGTCTAATACAGCAAGACAGTTTTCTTATGGTCTTCTTAACTTACTTTCTCAACTGGTTTCTGGAGGACAGGAATCTTCTTCTCCAAATGATCCAAACCTTGACAAGCCAAAACATTGGCTGCTTCAACTGAACCAAAGAAAACAAGAATGTTAAGTCACTGCTGGAGCAGAAGGGAGGGTCAGCCATTGAACTAATTGATTCCACTGTAGAAAAATTTCACCAGGATTCATAGGCTGTGTTTGGATGGTACACTAAACCACTGTTACAAGGCGTGCTACCATGTTACAAATTATGTTCCTCATCATATATTGTAATTATGTGCAAAACTCAGTTTGGGGAATAGAGCATTCTGGAGAATACTGAAATGTTCTGTCCCTCCTCTGGACTATGCCCTTCCAGAGGTAGTTTGATGGTTATCCACAAGTAAAGCCTCCAAACTGGAAGTCATTGGAGGTATTCTGGACATGGCATTCCATGGCATGAAACAGGGCTGGACTGCTCCCAGAACACTTCAAGGCTACCAGTTTGGGGACTTACTTCTGGAAACTCTCTGAACCACCTTGGAATGGTCTGGAAGAGGTTCAGCATAGTCCAAATAAAGAAGAGAACTTTATGGAGTTCTATGGAATATTCCATTTTCTACAATGCATCTTCCATAGCAATACTTCAAGGCATGGTGGGAAATAAAAGGAGCAAATGTACAAAGGGAATTGTGGTCAACTAAAACAGTAAATATTCATTCATCAAGCCACAGAACAATGGGCTGTAATTATTTAATTCTCCCCCAGAAGATCCAGAATAAGTGTCAGCAGTGACATACTTACTACGACTGCCTTTCATAGCAGGCTCTGGAGATTAAAGTAGCTGATACTGTGGAAAATGAAAATGGGGGATTGGCTCATTTACCTATCATAATTCCAAACTGATCCTGAATTAAATAGGGCTGTTGCTGCCATATATACTTTGTTGCCTCATGCAACACTTACGTTGAGGCTCCAGCTTCTGTACCACAGGCTTCACACTCCACAGAGCCAAAGAACTGGCATTCTGGAGGGCTCGCTCATAGGTGACACACACTGATGCCACCAAGGGGTGAATCTCTTTGGCACTGGCATATGTCCTCTGGAGGTTGGTGAGGGCTGAATTCACCACTGGTAACTGCAAAACTCTCTGTAACACACTGCTTTCCTGTTCAAGAAAGAAACAAGGATATAAATACAGGGCAGAAAATATCCCCAGAGGGAAGAGTGAGGACCTTATAGCAACTATCATTTATTCTTTCTCTGGTTTATTGTTGTCTGGGATCTGGTACCTTTGCTATCCAAAGCTTGTATAATAACAAGCTACGTGTGGGACTCCTTTCCTAGGGAGATCTGAGCATGCTGGGTTAAAAAGAAAACAGGGTAATTCCCAGTGGCGCTCTACCCCATTGATCACCCAAGAAACCAGCCTTGCTTACTTAAGGAGTTGATAATCACCAAAGACCCATTTGCTTTTCTTGGGTTAGGTGGTCTGAAAATAAGTTATTGCAAGGTGTCCTGGGTCAAACATAAAGAACAGCGTGTGTGTGTGCGCGCATGCGCCTTCTGGTCAGTCTTGACTTATGGTAACCATATGGACAAGTCCATGCCCTTTTCTTGGCAACATCTGGAGAAGTGACCTGCTACTGTCTTCTTCTTAAGGCTGAGAGAGGGGGACTATCCCAAAGTCACCCAGCTGGCTTCATGCCTAAGGCAGGACTAGACACACCGTCTCCCGCCTGCTGCCTTTAACCACTACACCGAACAGGCTTGAAAGAACAACTAGTGGGACAATTTTCATCCAGAAGCAGTAAAGGGGGAATATGCATATACCAATATAAACCTTCACCCTATTTTCCTGCCAGGTGCTATTTACAAAAACGTGACAAAGGCAAAGAAACATTCCGTTCTAAGGAAGCAGCGGGAAACTACAGCCCTCCAAATGTTGTGGAATGTAAGTCCCACCAGCCCTAACCACGCAAGAAATGGATGCTGAGCCTCATAGCTCAGATGCTCGAATAATCTTTTCTAGTGCAGTTTTTCAGTGCTCAAGCAATGGAGGAAACTTACTTGACGTGATGGAAGCAGCAATAGGACTATTGCACCGTCAAGCAATTAAGGCCACAGAACGACTTGTGAAAAAACATTTTACAACTTTTTGAAATAACAGACTCTATTGGGGGAGCAGGCAGATGCCAGCAGCAGCAAATTTTGCTCTGGTGCCTTTGTAGCGCCATGGTATTGTTTTACAGATGGAAAAAGCTTATCTTGACATTTAGGCTAGAAAATCATATTTTCTCATTCACATGATTTGCAATCTGAACTCTTTACTGTAACAGCAGTGTGGGTTGTTCTATTTCAGTCTGAAATAATTATAAAACATGTGGATGGCTTTTAAAAACTAAGAAACAGGCACGGCGTCTAATTCAGCTTTTCATGGGAGGCAAGGTTAAAATGTGCTCTATGTTGCAGAGCTCGATCAGCCTCCCTGCACCTGTGGATTAACTTCTTTTTTTTTTTTTTTATAATGTTTTTT